GAGGACACAGAGGACACAGAGGACACAGAGGACACAGAGGACACGGAGGACACAGAGGACACGGAGGACATGGAGGACACAGATGACACAGAGGACACGGAGGACACAGAGGACACAGAGGACATGGTGGACACAGAGGACACGGAGGACACAGAGGACACGGAGGACACAGAGGACACAGAGGACACGGAGAACACAGAGGACATGGAGGACACAGAGGACATGGTGGACACAGAGGACACGGAGGACACAGAGGACACAGAGGACACAGAGGACACGGAGGACACAGAGGACACGGAGGACATGGAGGACACAGAGGACACAGAGGACATGGAGGACACGGAGGACACGGAGGACACAGAGGACATGGAGGACACAGAGGACCAACAGCCTCAGATCTGATACAGATTATTGATCTGTTAACTCCTCTTACGTCTCTTTAGACAGTCAGCCAGCTCCTCCTGCTTCATCCTCAGGAGGTGCAGTGTGATCTTCACAAACGCCTCTCTGCTGCTCCTCTGGTCTTCATCTTCCTCATCCTCACTCTGACTCTCTGAGCATTCTGGGTAATCTGGACTCAGAAGCTTCTGGACTCTCTTCAGCTCGTCCTTCACAAACGTGATGACGGTAGCATATGTATGTGTACACTTATGGTGTGTTATATTCAGTGTCGGGCAGGAGTACCTTCAGGAAGAAGATATACAGTACAGGTGAGTAATGAACAATCAGCACACTTGGAGACAGTTTTCATGCTTTGAGTTTGATCCAACATTTTTTTTCTTCTCTCCTTTTTCTTCCCTCACAGAAAACTAGATGTCAGTACTGTTATGGCGGCTGCTCACTGACAGCCCAAGAACAGCCTGAAGAGGAGGAGGACACCATGTGGTAGAATGAGGGAGTGAAAGACAATGTTATTGTTGGGCTGGAGCAGGACAAGTAGTAGGAATGGACTTGAGAGGCATTGGAAAGGGATCGGTAATCCAAATTATTCTATAGGGTGGCAGCAATCAATAAAGAAGTTATAGGGGCAATTGCATGTACAATGTGTCCCGGACTTCTTCAAAGAGTGAATCTTCCTAATAGGACCAAAACATGCATATTCAAAATCAAAATAAATTTTCCTTTTGAGAACAGGAGGACAAAGAATAAAGCAAGAATCAACACACCAAATGGGGTTACAAGAAATCATGCTTTCTTTAATTGTTTCACGCATGTGCTTGTATAATTTCTCCACCTTATCCCTTACTATATTTTGTGTTTCTTTCTGCAGCGGTTGCATTAGGGGAATCATATAATGGTTAGTATCCTTTAATTGTCGGTACTCCTCCTTTAAATAATTAGTTTTGTCATGGAAACAAATTTGTCCACCTTTGTCTGCACTCTTTAAGATGATGTTAGGATTTCTGGCCAATCTGGAGAGGGCCCTGTGCTCATCTTGTGAGACATTAAATGTGGTGAGGGGTTTTATTTTCAATTTTTCAAACACTTTAACGTCTTCCCTGATGAGCTTTTGAATAGGCTCTGAAATCGCCTGCAGGTGTGGTTCCCATCCTGATGATTTTGTAAAGGGTACAGGCATTTTTGGACAATCATATCTGAGATAATCTAACAGTTTTGGCTGGTGATGATATAAATTTCAATCAGACTTAGCTCGCTGCGGGTCAGTGGTTTTGGAATTGGGATGAAGGTGAGGCCTTTTTCCAAAATTGTTTTCTCTGTGTTGGTTAGTTTGTGTGTTGTATATAGGTTGATGACTAGATGATTAGAATGTGGGGGAGGCGTGTTGGAGCCATGTTCCCCCCTCACATGTTTAATTGGGTCAGCCAATGTTGTAAAATATGTTGCGTGGTTTCGTTAGTCCAATGCACTGGATTGGTGCGATTTATATGAAATGTTTGTCAATTTTGGTGAGGGTCTTGAATCTGGTCTGGATCCTAGAGTTTAATTCCTCAATTAATGATTGTTGTTTGGCAGTTAATCGATCAGAATAATGGATGAGAGAAACATGGATAGATGCTGAAGGAAAGATGGATGTGGCTATGGCAACCATTTGTTGCATCTGTTTCCAGATATTTAATATTGTCTGTTCTCTGAGGCAGTTGTTCAAGACGACAGACAAGATAACTTTTTCCACCTGGGGTTGGATGTTCATTTTCTTTATCAAATGTGTAATATGGGGGCATCTAGCTCCTGGAAAACTGTCAATTTGGAGTGTGGGGTCTGAAAAGGATGGGATCCTGGCCAGATTCAAGTCCCTATAATTATATTGAGTTTGTGTGCCTTTAAAATCCAATCCTGGACCTTACGATGTGTGTGAGGGTGGACTGTGGGCTACATGCACTGCGTAACAGGGACTATGTGTGGGAGGTGATGTCTCTGGAGGCGTACCGTCAGTTGTTTAAGGTAAGCTTCAGCTACTGAGCCATTTCTGTCATTAAGACTTCTGGAATGGCTGCTTTCGAGGGTTAGGGTTATACTTAGTCTGGGTTTGAGAACTGAAACAGTGTATGGATCAGGACTGATTAATGTGGTGGGTCTGATCAAAGATGGCAGTGAAAAGACATGAAAGACCTGATCTGGGCGGTAAAAACCAAGCCTGGACACAGTGTGTGTTCGATGTCTAAACAAGGTCAGCAGCATCAGTGAGGATCTGACCCTGACCCTGAGAGGATCATGAGGAGTGTCCACCCTCAAGTCAGCATAATAACAGACGGTGAAGCTCTGAACCAACACCCGAGTATTCAGTCTGACGTTCTCACCTTCCATCAGCACCATGTCCAACTTTAAAGTTAATGACTTCATCCATAGACCGGTCACTCTTTATGGACACACAGCTTGGTCCAGGTCCAGGTCCAGGTCCAGATCCAGGTCCAGATCCAGATCCAGGTCCAGATCCAGGTCTAGGTCCAGGAGAGCCTGGTCTCTGCTGCTGCATCCTGATAAAACAAAGACAGAGGATGAGTGGTGTTGTGTTGTTGATCAGGACGTGATGTGTTCCCAGCTGACTGATCAGTGGTTGATAACTGATCCTGAACTGTTCATATTGTAAACATGTGTTTATTCAGTGGCTGAGTGAGTGTGAACAATGTTGGTGGACTGATGTGATGTCATCAGGTCTCTGCATCATGTTGTCAGGTTGTCCATCTCGTCCTCGTGAACATAATGGAATTCCTTTAGATTTGTCACAAACGTCCACGTGGACTGAAGAATGACATGATTTAGAATTTATTTATTTATTTTATTTAATTCACTGACATGGATGGAGACTATCAGAGACACTGGACTGGTGGGCGGAGTCATACAACCACAGGGTGGACTGGTGGGTGGAGTCATACAACCACAGGGTGGACTGGTGGGCGGAGTCATACAACCACAGGGTGGACTGGTGGGCGGAGTCATACAACCACAGGGTGGACTGGTGGGCGGAGTCATACAACCACAGGGTGGACTGGTGGGCGGGGCCATACACCCACAGGGTGGGTGGGGCCATATTGTTTGTTATTGTTTGTATTGTTTGTTTGTAGCTATGAGTAGCTGATTTTGGTTGA